CAAGAAAATTATAATTGAAAACAATTTAATGTACTATCTAGAATTTGGATTGAAGTTGAATTTGATTGACGGTAAACCCTTCAGGAGTAGTTACAATGAAGATTGTTTACCAATAATTGAAATAGTTAAAAAACCTGTGCCACCTGAGATAGCTTGTCTGCTGATAGAAAAGACTGATATCGAAGATTTAATTTCGGCAAAGGATAGTGACAAACTTTTATCGTACTTGCTCGTGAACAATAAAATGATATTAATGAAATTAATTGAAAAGGGTTTTGATTTCAATATAAGTTTGAACGGACTTTTAATAAATTATTTGAGAGATCTTAAAATCAAAGTCTGTTATTTTTCTAATAATGTCTGGATACAACAATCTGTTCATGGTGATTACCATCATCATAGCTATAAAAATGATGATTTATATGATAGTGTCGTACTCATTCTTAAAGGTGGTTCGGGATATAACTCATGTATTAATGGTTTTACGACAGTTCAGAATGCTGAAAAGCTCTATTATAGAACCAATTTTCTAAGAAAAGTATACGAATTCCATAAGAAAGGTATTGAAAAAGGGATCGATCCACTGGATGTAAGACATCAACTGATCGCTGAAATTCTTAGCAAATTAAACTGCCATCAATATAAAATTAAAACCACAAACAACAGTAATTCACAAATGATACCTGAAACAAGTCTGATTCACCGTATTCGTGATCTAGTTATGAAAAAAGGAATAGTACTGGAAAGTGCATTCATACAAGTGTTAAAAGAACGTTTGGGATTTAGAAATCGAAAGAAAAAACTACTCAAAACCAATGGGTTGTTTGATCATGATAAATTGTTGGATGTGCTAAATATAGAAGGAACAAATATTGATGTTGAACTCCAAGAATATATACTTGGAATTTTTGAACACAATCGTGACAATTTAATATACCTTTGGTCAATATTTATCAAAATAGCTGAAAATAAAGTTAAAGCTCCATTTTTAGAATCATTGTTCGTATTTTTCCACAACTGTTCACAAATTTACAAGTTATTGAAACAGCTCAACGAATACTTTGTTAAGGTAATGGATGCAATTAAACATACAAAACACCAGGATGTGAAAAGCATTTTACAACAAATAGATGTTGATTTTGTGAAGGCAGTTATTAATGGCCACGATGTTGACTGCGGTTCTCCATTGCATTACGCAGCATTCAAAAGAGACTCAGAAATGATTAAAATCCTTCTGAATTTTGGAGCCAATGTTAATATCGTATTAAAATCTAATCATAAATATTTAGTTCGGAATCACGCTTTTGCGGCCAAAAAAAAAATTTTTTATTCTCCACTACAAATCGCAGCGGAAAACGGCCACTATGAGATTGTTCAGATTTTGATAGACAATGGTGCCAAAGCTAAAGTACCTTGGATAGACTCAATGTTACTTCCAGTGGCATGTAAAAAAGGCTATACAAAGATTGTTAAAATTCTCTTAATGAATTCCGTAGATATCGATGCAGTCGATGCAAAAAAACGTACAGCATTACATCATGCAGCCATTAATGGCCACAAAAAAGTGGTGCAATTATTAATAGAAAATGGAGCCAATGTTAATGTATTTGATGACTTGCAATCGACACCATTCGATTATGCGTTTGTATATGAACACAATGATATTATGCAATTTTTAAGAGATAGTGGTGCGGCTGAAGATACAGATCGTTTAAAAGATCTCAAGTCTTTGCTTCAGTAAATTAAAACGGAATTTGCGTCACTTTAACGCAGGAATATTAATTAAGTTAAAGAAATATAATTATGATGAGTGAATATTTCTTTTAATTCTATTACTAACTCCCGTAGGCTAAGTTATTGTAATCATCCAAAAATCGAAATTGAAAATTTTTACATTTCTCCACTATTGAGAGGTTTCTGAACATTTTAGCATACCTTATAAAAATGTATATGAGTGTGTGTGTTAGGATGTATGTATGTATGTATGGGTACAATTTTTCATCCACGTTTTAAGGCGCATGGGTCCACTGATTTGAATGGTTCAAAAAACTAAAGCTTTTTTGGCAAAGGCAGGTCCAGCCGTTTCGGAGATACAGACTTAAATGTGCAAAAAATGACAGTTTTTGAGAAAAATAAGCATCCAATTAAATTATTTCAAAATTATTTTTTTTAAATATACAAAATGATTAAGATTTTCAAAATAATAATTCGGTGCGGAAATTTCCATAATTACCATACAGCACTAGTTATTTAATTTCTATGTTTCTAAATCGAACTGAACTAAATGAATGAACTCTTAATACTCTAATTTTCTCACATATGTGTATTATCATTATATTGTATTATTGCCTTGGGCATTGAATAAACTAGTTGGTTTGGTATTTAGCCTTGAGGCAAGTTACATGAACTTCCCGATATGTGTAAATAATCGACTTAATCAAAAAAATGTGTAAATAATATACTTCATTAATCCTACTTTAAAAAAAAACGATAATAATTTTAGCAAAGTTTGACGAATTTTTAAGATTAAACTACTTGTCGGCCGCAATATTACAGTAAGTTCTATAAGACCATGATGTATATCGCCAAAAAAAATTTCATGAAAATCGGCTTAAACTTTTTTTCAACAGGTAATTACAAAAAAACGGCTCGGTAGATTTTCACCTAAAACTAATCAGTACTATTCCCAACTAATATCTTTCGAACAGTTTTTGATTTTTTAAAATCGGTTCGGTAGGATGGGCTTAAATGTGGACGAAAATTTAACACTTTTTTTCAAATTACAAAGAAACGGCTTGGCAGATCGTTGCACAAAACTTACAAACGATAGTCCTCACCGAAATACATCAAATGGCTTTTAAATTTCTAAAATCGGTTCAGGCGTTTTTGAGAAAACGTCGATCAAAAGTCTAATTTTGACAAATGCCAAAAAGACCATACTGATTTTTACAAACTTTGACGAATTTTTAAAGCTGAACCAGTTGTCGTAGGGCCGTAATATTTTAGTATGATCTAGAAGACTATGGTATCTATCGCCAAAAAAATAATCATAAAAATCGTCGAAATTTTTTTTTTGAAAACTTTATTACAAGAAAACGGCCCGGCCGATCTCTACCAAAAACTAATCAGCACGATTCCCAACCAATATCTTTCGAACGGTTTTTGAATTTTCAAAATCGATTCAGAATTGCGGGCTAAAACGTAGACGAAAAATTTTTCACTTTTCTGCCATTTATAAAGAAACGGCTTGGTCGATCGTCGCACAAAACTGACAAACAATAGTCCTCATCGAAATACATCGAATGGCTTTTAAATTTTTGAAATCGACCCAGCCGTTTTCGAGAAAACGTCGATTTACGGCAAAAAATCTGTTCACATACACACACACACACACACACACATACTTTTTCCAAATTTGGTCTCATTCGATTCAGAATGGCTTGAAACGTCGAGAAAACATAAAATTAGCGAATCAAATTTTTTGATGAAAACATAAACTTCTCCTTCGGGAAGTTAATAAATGAATTAATTAATTAATTAAATGAACTAAACTAAACTAAACTTTCTTACTGTATCTCGTTCATTGATTTTCAGAATATCTTCTAAATCACAATCATTAATCCAAGTCTTTACAAATGATTTGGATAAAAAAAAATATTTTTACCAACAGTGGCAATATTTATTGACCTAAAAAAGGCATTCGACACGGTAGATCACAAGATACTGATCAATAAACTTTTAGAACTATGAGTGGAAGGTAATCTTCTCAGCAATCTAAAGGATTTTCTGACCGAAAAAGTAATGAGGCCAAAGATTGGAAATTGCACAAGTGAAATATGCAAATTAACATGTGGAGTACCACAATGGTCAGTCACGAGGGCCCTTGTTATACCTTGTGAATACGACTAACTTGAAAAAAGTGAAATTAAAGGGGTGATATATACTATACGCAGATGATACCGCGATAGTATATGCAGACAAAGACCAATATAAGCGGAGCAAAATATCAATGAAGACATGGGACATACTCATGTTGGCTAATTAAGAACAAATAAACCGTTAATACAGAAAAAACAAAATACGTATACTTTAAACCAAATAGAAGAAAAAATTAAATTAAAGCTTAAAGTTAACAAAAATAATAAATGAATAGAATAAATGATATAAAATGTTGTAATAACCATATCATATGTAGTAAACATATATATATATATATATATATATATATATATATATATATATATATATATATATATATATATGTATATATATATATATATAAAATATATATATATATATATAAGCGAGAGGTTTTTCTTCAGATGGTGAAATAATATGATAAAAAATTGTTTCTTGGGCATCCATCCAATAATTAAAAAAACAGTTTTAATGCAAAATGTTTTAATTAAGAGAACATACGTTTCGGGTCCAGATTTGACCCATCTTCAGTGCATACAAATAAATTTAAAAAAAAAATATAACACAAAGAACAACACAAAAATGCAACGAAAAAATAAGTATGAAATAAAAAATTGAAAAAACGTCAAGTTATGAAAATTTTGAAAATTGTAAAAATTAAAATAAATAATATGTTTTATTGTAAAAAAGCTTATTCCAAAAACACATCTTGTTCGTTTGGAGACAGAGTTACGTGTGTGTAAACACTTATTTATTCAACTTATTTTTTCGTTGCATTTTTGTGTTGTTCTTTGTGTTATATTTTTTTTTTTAAATTTATTTGTATGCACTGAAGATGGGTCAAATCTGGACCCGAAACGTATGTTCTCTTAATTAAAACATTTTGCATTAAAACTGTTTTTTTAATTATTGGTTGGATGCCCAAGAAACAATTTTTATCATATATATATATATATATATATATATATATATATATATATAATATATTATATGGATATTTTATATAATCTCTCATACCAGGCACTTTGTGGCCTGCCTGAGATGTATAAAATTTATATTAATATTTAAATAAAATAACAAACCTATATATCCCAATTGTTTCGGTTTCCTGCTAACTTGGTTCTGATGAATTATTGTCAATTCTGATGCCAAACCTGGCAAGTAATAAGGCGTAATTGCCCAAACTTCATCTCCAGGTTCAAATAAATCTGATGATCCTCCAACTGCTTCGACCACACCTGAACAAGCTCTCCCAAGAATCACTGGAAAACTTTCCTAATAATAAAATTTAATATAAAATATACTGTGCATTGAAATACATATTATTAAAAACATTAAATTGCATAAAAATCAATGTATGAGATGTATTCTTGTATCATGTAATGTATATTACATATTTAACTGCTTTTTTACCTTAGATTTTGAGTACAGACTACGCAACACTTTAGCATAGCCTTTAGCAATTCGATCATCCAATTTTACAAGACCAGCAGCTTTAACACGGATAAGCAATTCGTCAGACTGCTGGTTCAAAACTGGAACTTGGACCTTTTGACTGGAAGTCACAGCCTGTTATAATTATTATTTCAACTGTTCAGTAGTTGACAGCTTTAATAAAATACTTAAATCAAAGAATAAATAGTAACAAAATAATATATTACAACCTGGTGTACAACCTGTTGAAAATCTATATAAATATAAATATTTATTCCTTATCTACCTACATTTATACCACGATACGATATAGCAACAACCGCTTTCATAAAATTTGGTGTAACAGGAGGACAGGCAAGATACCACCCAAACATAGTTCCACCAGCACCACCGATCACAAGTCCAATTATAAGATAAAATGTGTTATTAATGGCAACTACAACAAATGATTTCATATTGATATTATGAAAAAAATTTATGAACCATGCTAGAATTTGATTATTTTTGCCTACGTTCATTTCTAAAGAAATGTGTTAAATGTCCGTATATGACCGCAGGTTGTATTAGCTCTGTGAAATTACTTCGGGCATTTGCATAATGCTGTTTTAAATTGGATAGGTTGTTTGAGAAAAAATGTTGAGCTTCTGCAACTCTGTCATTACTTGCTAGCTGTAAGAACACATTGATTAATAATCTGGAAAATATTGTAAATAATATTAAAAAATTCTAATCAGATAAACTTCAATTATAATTATAGGAAGTGCAGAATTCTATCTTTGTTATTGAAAGAATATTGTATTGTTTAAATGCTAATTTAGTATTAAAAAAAAAGAAGAAATTATTGTTGTTATTGAATAATTCATAAATTTAAATTTGGCATAATATGAACAAATTAAAATATTGAAATAATAGATGGTCATTTAGTATTTTTCATTTCTAATACCTGTGACATCGTAACACGTAGTTGAGCTAAATATTGTCGTAAAAGTTCAGTACCATTTTGGCTCATAATATTACCCTGTACCTAATTCCAACAAAACTAATTAAATAAATTTAATCATAAAATTATTCCATAAATATTTTATTACCATCACCTGTAAAGCTTCAACACGTTGATGAAGGCGAAAAAGAATTTCATCCATTTTGCATAATAATGAAAATTGCAGACATCATATTAATAATTTGATTATATTACCATTATTAAAATATTTTTATTTGAATTTATATTATACATAATGACATAATATAGCACGAGTTGTTGCGAAACATGAATTTATTTTATATACAATTTGATTTTTGGTCAGGTGATAAAATTAATAGCATGACTACGAAAATGGATCGTTTAAAATCAGTTTATAAATATTAAAATTTTCATTTCCAAAAATAATTAATTTACAAATTTCATAAACCTCTGAAGAGGTGCAAATGTCATTTCTTATCTTTAGAGTTGCAAGATGAGGCAGTTTTGAGGGCTGCAAGAAGAAGAATTTCTTAAGTTTAGTATTGCCCAATGCTAAAGAAATGTTTCACTACTAATTTATAAAAAAGAAGTGTCAGTGTTTTAACAGACGACAGTTACGCGCGGAGAGCAATTACAGTATCAGTTTTAATATAGCCATAATAATGTTCTCTTTTTAATTATTTAAATAAACCGCATTTTTAATAATTTGATTCAAATTATATTTTAATAATTGCACAAATTATATTTCTTGTTCAACACTCTACGATTTTATAACAGTTCTAAGATGAATCTCGAGCTTTTGGAATCCTTCGGCCAAAACTATCCAGAAGAATTCGACGGATCTTTAGATTGCATTTCTTTGGCTGTTACTTGCTGTTTTAATAAAAGAGGTACACTATTAGCTGTCGGTTGTAATGATGGAAGAATTGTAATTTGGGACTTTCTTACAAGAGGTATTGCTAAAGTTATAAGTGCTCATGTACATCCGATATGTAGCTTGAGTTGGTCTAGAAGCGGCAGAAAATTGCTATCAGCTCTACCGACAATAATGTTTGTGTTTGGGATGTTTTATCCGGTGATTGTATCCAGAAATATCGGTTTCCTTGTCCGATAATGAGAGTCCAGTTTCATCCTAGAAATGAAAAGCAATATCTTGTCTGTCCAATGAGACATGCAGCTTTATTAGTCGATGATGAAGGTGAGCATAAAATTTTACCTGTAGATGATGATGGTGACTTAAATATTGTAGCTTCTTTTGATAGAAGAGGCCAGTATGTTTATACAGGAAACTCGAAAGGAAAGATTATAGTAATGAGCTCAACAGATTTTGCTTTTAAAGCTAGTTTCAGAATTACTGTAGGTACTTCAAATGCAACAGCTATTCGTAGCATAGAATTTGCTAGAAGGGGTGAATGCTTTTTAGTAAATACTGCTGATAGAGTGATTCGAGTTTATGATGCCAAAGAAGTTCTTGCTTGTGGAAACGATGGTGAACCAGAACCTATACAAAAATTGCAGGATTTAGTAAATAAAACTATGTGGAAAAAATGCACATTTTCAGGAGACGGAGAATATATTTGTGCAGGTTCTGCAAGACAACACGCTCTGTACGTCTGGGAAAAATCAACAGGCAGTTTAGTTAAAATCCTTCACGGCACTAAAGGTGAGATGCTGCTTGATGTTGTTTGGCATCCCGTTCGACCGATCATTGCCAGTATCAGTTCAGGAGTTGTATCTGTGTGGGCTCAAAATCAAGTCGAAAACTGGTCGGCATTTGCTCCAGATTTCAAAGAACTAGATGAAAATGTTGAATATGAAGAGCGAGAATCTGAGTTGATGTGAAAGATGAAGACAAATCCGTAGACTTATCTGGAGAAGATAAACAAGACGAAGACTTTGAAGTAGACGTCACCAAAGTTGATGTAGTTGCCGCTTTCTGCAGCACTGATGAAGGTAGCGATGATGATTCTTTACAATTTTTGCCAATAGCACCAGAGGTGGAAGATCCTGAAGAATGGGAAACAGCTACAAGTCCTCAAGCCGCACAGGCATCTGGACAGCCACCGGAGAAGAAAAGAAACTGCAAATCTTTTGATATCGAATTGAAAGGAGTGGTAGGAGACGAGCAACACCCATTGTTAAGCAATAAGACCAATAAAGATAAACAAACTGCTGCAGGTGGTAAGAAAGGGGTTGGTAGACCGAGGAAGTAGTAATTAATAGTTTTAACTTAGATTTTAAAAATATTAGATATAAGATAGATATAGTTTTAATTTAAATATTTATGATGAAATACATATGATAAGCATTGCTTAAATAGTCATGGCAATATAATTATCAATTGATTGATATGCCATATATATAAAAATATAAGATATACTATTTTTATATGATATATAAAGTATACTCTATTAAAAACTTATTAAGAATTAAGAAATTACTTATGAATTGTTTTATAATACATGTTACGACAATGAATTAAATTTTATTTAATTATATATGTAATAAATGTATTTTATTGTTTTAATTATGTGTTTGATATTTTTAGACTAATAACTGTCTTAGTCATTTCTCAGGATTTTCTAATTTAATTTTTGATGTGATTCTTGAAGTTCTAATAAAATCATACAAGAAGCAGTAAAAAAAAATTAATTGGTAAAAAAAATAAAAAAACCCTGAAAAGTTACAGATGAAGAATGTGAATGAAATGCATATGAAATAAAGAAGAAATCCAATAATATTGATTAAATTGGCAGGTACAACATTAAAGAAATGTTTGTACTAAAAAGATATCACATAATTTTGTCAATAAACACTTTTTCTGAGATCGGAGTAAGTCTGTAATAAAATTGGAACTATGCACAGCCTAAAAAGTTTAAAACAGGAAAATAACCAAAATTTTGAATTTACAAATAAAGAAGAAATAAAACTAATTTTTGAAAATACAAAAAACAATACTAGGTAGAACTAAATAACAGCAAAAATTGTTGAAATAAGTAATAAATTTTATAGTCTCTTATTCAAATAATAGTTATAAAAAATTCAGTGTTCCATCTCTTTAACAAAGGAGTCACTATCGAGCAGATTTTTAAAACAGGAAACAAAGCAGATACAAATAACTATAGTTATTATAGTATTTTAATGTATATAGAGCTATAACAATAATATCAAACACATTCTCAAAAACAAATGATAAAATAATTAAACAAAGATTATTAAATTTCTTCATTCAGATAAGATAAAATTTCAAAAACATAATATAACTTGAAACACAATGGATGCAAATGACTGTAGACCCATAACAATAACAAACACAATCAAATGTGAAAAAATAATTAAACAAGGATTATTAAATTTCATTCATTCAAAACAAAAAATTAGATAACAATCAGTATATGAATTCCTGCTTAATCTGACTGATATTATATTATATCAACACATTCAAAAAAATATCCATCATATAGTAAAAATATTTATCTGAAAAAGCTGCAATACCTTAGAAAAAATAGATGTATGTGAGATACAAATTTTCGTCGACGATTTCGAGAGCACGGATCAACGAAATAGAGAAAATGCCATTTTGCGGTCAAAAATGATCCTTAGACGATTTTATAAATGAGTACAAATTTTGCTTACATGTTCTAGAAAGGATTCGCCGGCTATTCGATAATAGCTATTATGGGTTCCGTACCAACATTTATAATATTTATGGTTCAAACAAATTTCTCAACATTTTTGAGAGTGTGAATCAACCGACTTGAATAGAAAAAATTTCAAAATTTTCAAAAAATTTCAAGAGATACAACAAATTTCAAATTTTCAAAAAATGACGATTTTTTTAAACTTTCTCTTGGATGAGTTATAATAATTGCAAAAAATTTAAGACGAAAATTTTTATATATCTTCACGTTTCAAAAGTTTCTGAACTCTCTGGCATGCCTTAAAAAGAATCTATATGTGTGTGTAGTACGTATGTATGCGCGGATACAAATTTTCGTCGACGATTTTGAAAGCACGGATCAACCGATTTGAATGGTTTAAAAAACATTCGATTCGTATTAATAAGAAGACGTGCTGATTAGTTTGTGCCAAAGGCAGGTCCAGCCGTTTTGGAGATATGGAGCAAAAAGTGCCAAAAATTGTAATTCAGTTTTTGAGAGAACGGCGCGTTCGATTTGAATGATTCAAAAAACATTTTATTCCTATTAACGGAATGAATAATTGATTGAATTTTTGGCAAAACAGCGGTTTTAAGTTAAAAAATGTGTTAAAATTAAAAAATACCATTTGGCGATCAAAAATCATTATTATATTATAAATGTTCCATGTATCAAACGACCAGAATGGGTTTCAAAATTTAAAAAAAAATCAAAATTTTCAAAAAATATCAATTTTTTCAAAATTTTTGACGAAAATTAATTTAGGATACGGGTAGTTCTGAAATTTGCTTTAAAGCACGATGCGATGCACCACTAGTTTTTTTAAAAAGAAATCCAAAAAAAAATCAAAAATTTTTGAAAATCATCCGACCATATTTTTTAATCGTTTACTACTACATTATAAACCGACTTTCCAAATATTTGGTGAACAATAGCGATGCCATTTCAGTTTCTACGTACAAAAGAATAATTTTATTCACAAAATTTAATAATTTGTATAAGAATTCGGTATTTAGAAAGTTCAAATAATAATTCTCCATCTCCATTGCTCCTTACTTTCCCTCTGCAGGCAACTTCACGCAAAAGTGAAAGCTTTTAGTAATGGCGTCATGGCGTTCGTCTCGCATGACATTTGACGTTATTTACATTTAGTTGCAACTGTTAATAACAATAAGTGCGCAGTTTAATCTAAAAATAAATCTAAAAAAATACTACAAATATAACGGACAGTGTTTAGTTTATCCAACTGATTACTATTGTTATTATGTTATCTATGCGCGATGCAATGTAAAAAGTTATTGATAATATTTATTAACGAATAGTGGTAAACATGTCGGAAGAAAGGACAGATTACGTTAATATTTTAGCAGAGAAAAAATTACAAAATGACGATGCTTTCTTTATGTCGTATCCTTATAGGCCGGCAATTGCGTATAAACAGACTAAATATTATAATCCGGAGGAGCTGAAAGTTTTGGTTTTACATAGTTCGGAAATTTCTAATGTTATCGAACAGGTTAGTTTGAAATAATCAATAAATAATATTTAATTTTAAATAATTATATACACATATATAGGAGTAGCTGTAGTTAAAGTTCTCTACAAAATTGCAATGAAATATCTATATAGTTAATTAGGATATTCACTATTATAGTTATTAGGATAGGTTTCACTTAAAAATTAAGGACTTTTATAATAATTTGTTTTGAATTTTTTAATAATTTTATGTTTGTCCTTACAAAGTTATAGCTATATTCTTAATTTAAACACTGCAAGAGTTAAATGTATAAAATATTTAAAAAAAATCCTAGGACATTATTCAGATTTCACTTCATATGTATAATAATATTTTATATATACTTATAAGCATCAAATTATTATAAAAATCCTTCCTAGTTTCCTTGAAATGGAAATTCAGAATTTATAAAATCTAGGACAAATTTCTCTAATAATAATTACCATTTTTATACTAATTTGATATTTATTTTTACCAATAATTTTATATTTATTGAACTAATTTATGCAGGTAAAACTTCTTTAAACTGCAAAAATGTTTTAGATTTTTTATATTTTATGGTTAAAAAGTATTAAATTTAAACTTTATATCTAAATTTTATGGCGAATATCCTTTATAATAATTTCTATTTGATTTTTTATATTAATTAGATGAATATCCTAATCCACAAACTAGAATAATGTATTAGATTTTTTATATATTTTAAATATTTAATTGTCAAAGCAATACAATATAAATACATAGCTAAATTCTATGACAAATATCCTTTATAATAATTTCCATTTAAATTTTTATGATAATTATTTTTACAAATACTATTTTATGAAAGTAAAACTCTTGCAAGTCTTATGATAAATTATAACAGTTTTTAAGGTTTTTTTATTTAAATTTTCTATTAATTGCTTAAGATTTTTTAATTTTTTCTATTCATTTTTTATATATTTAATTAAAGTATCTAAATCAAACTTTAGTTAAATTCCATGGCAAATATTCTTATAATATAATTTTCATTTAAATTTTTATAATAATGGGATGTTTACCCCTTACTAATATTAATTTATGAAAGTAAAACTTTTTCAATATTTAAGGTAAACTATAACAATTTTTAAGGTTTTTTTCTATTTAATTATTTTTTCTATTAATTTCCTATTAATTATTCAAGGTTTTTCTCTATTTTTTCTATTTATTTCTTATATATTCAATTAAAGTATTAAAATTAAACTATAGCTAAATTCTGTGGCAAATATCCTTTATATTAAATTCCATTTCGATTTTTATAATAAATTGATGTTTACCCCTTACTGATATTAATTTGTGAAAGTAAACTTTTTCAAGTCTTATGATAAACTATAACAATTCTTAAGTTTTTTTCTATTTAATTATTTTTTCTATTAATTTCCTATTAATTATTAAGGTTTTTTCTATTTTTTTATATATTTAATTAAAGTATTAAAATTAAATTATATGGCTAAAT